ATTGTTGATTATCATTATAAGACGAGTAAGTGTAGACAATGATGTGACTGCCGCGTAAGATCTGATAGTTCAAGTAGTCACACCATGACAAGTACACCATTTTGTGGTTAGGCCTATCATCACATTAAGGAATATAAATTTATTAGTACCAAAACAGAACATAATTCTATACATTCTGTTATATCCTAGTGAAGAGTAAACTACGAGTAACTTCTGTAAACTATTAATAGACTAATATTATATATATATATATATATATATATATATATATATATATATATTGTTACTGAACAACTATTCGGTAATTAGATTATGTATATCTATATTCCTCTCATCATAAGCTTCATTGTGACCTATAGATTATTATTGTACGATTTACTGTTAAGCTATGTTCAGCTTATTGATTGCAATCTACTACGTTCACAGGCACATTTTGGCTTGATCTTGTACACATGTTATTTCCTATTTTATGGTGTGATGCGGTATGTTTGGCTGGTATGTAAGCCAAGTATGTTTGGAATAAATGATTCATATAGTGGAAGTTGGTATTAATGTTCCGGACTTAACTGGACGAGCTGGGATGGGAAAGGACCAATAAGGACGCTAGGCTGATCAGACCGGTTGAACGTCATTGGTTTAATACAGCACAGGAATAAATAAGTCTCATTTTGATCGGCAAGTAAATTACGTAATAAAAAGTCGGGCTTAAAGTTACAACACATTCACTTTTCTTGTTACATTAATAAATTAAGTTCTAGAATCGTAGATTCTCTATGATGTGACTACCTAATCTATAAGATCTAACATTTAAGTCACGTCGCTGTCTATACTGACTCTTCCTACCGTGTCAATTGACAAGATGATATTAAGGACTTCTGAAGAATGTATTTAGGCTGGGGATAGAATAATATATATGACAAAAAGGAATAAGTTGCATAGAGTGGCTGCATCTGCATAGCTAAGCCATACCATACTTATCATATATTCCACTGCTCAACATTTCTCACCTTCTCTATAGTGTTAAGCTTTGAATATAAATCCTTTCAGTTATCGTATGTCCGTTATCAAAGATTATCAAAGATAGCACTCACGAACACATCTGAGCCCCACTCAGACGTCATAGGCTCTCTCTATGTTTAGATCAAAATGAACTTCAAGTTCAGTTCGCCTTATTTTTCCTACTTTTCAGTTGTATTAGTTACTTCTTGCACCCTATTTCTTCACTTGAAGTAGACAGGTAACTCAACTAAACTCAGTCGCTAAGTTACACTCACTACCACCCTAAGAAATCAAGAGAACCTCACAACCGACTGCCTACTACCAGTGGTCTCGCATCTATGGAGCCTGTTACCCATCAACTGGTTAGGACAACACAGAAAACATCAGCACCAAGTTAGTGTGAGTTTCTTCCTGTTTATTCTTTATTGGCTTTTTACTCTTCTGTACACTGTGTTGACTAGCGATTAATATTATTTCTCCACTCCTTACCTTATTTACAACTCATTTACTCCTATACTTTCCCGCCTGCTTTAATAAACAACTATCCTACATTATGCCCTTTTTAATATTTATACTCTGATTGGCAAACTATACTTTATACTATAGTCAATTAAAGCACTGTTTCGATGCCTTAACCACAGTCCATAATATGTAACTGCCTGATAAGCTTGTAAAACGGTACTTATAGAAATAGTGTTTTCCAACAGGATATGAAACACAGAGGATTGTGTGAGATATGACATATATCCAAAAATAAGCTTCAATGAGGTTAACACCACTAAAGGAGGGTGGAGTTGCTGGCCAGCAAGAATCGATGGTGAGGGCGATAATTTCAATTCACTCGTGTTTGTGGGGGCAGAACATTTTGTATGTATCAAGCCCTTTATGATTGAGAATAAGTCAATCAATCTGTGATATAGATTGTCTTCCTACTCTCACCACTCAGACTGATGTTTCCAATTTTATGCTGGATTAGCTATTCTACGAAGTCAACCTATAACATGCTAACTCGAACTTTTACACTAAGATTATGTGGCCGGCATCGCATGGACAAAAAAAGGAAAGAAAAGAAAAAAAAGACGATAAAAGATATGGCTATGAGCATTGACACTTCACCCTCTATATGCATACTCCCTTCTAATAAACAGCTTTCCTTGTACCAACGTTGAATTCCCTTTCTTCATATGAGCTTACTCCAATTTCTTAAATATCACAACTCATAATTGTTTATTGCTACATTCTCTTATATGGAGCCTCTGATTTTATTTCACCGTAACAAGAGATAATATGGATTTATTCTAATTTATTATACCTCTGTCTGTTCTACTACAAAATGTTAAGCAACGTTTGGCGTTCATATCCAAGTGCCTTGCAGCTCTTCTGTTTCTCTTTATTCTTTCTTCAGAATCTTGCTCTGAGGGCGCAGCTATTGAACTTATGACGTCTGGAACAAACTTGACGTACGCGTCTCCTCATGGTCACAGTTCGCAGCAAGCGCTCTACGAGTCTACTTTATAACAACTACAAACTTATTAAGTTGAGAAGCATGCTGTGAGCCAATAAATGTTGTAATTTTTAGATTATGCCTTCGAAAATGGCGTGTACCTGCTCATGCAGAAATATATTATTATTATTTTTATTATTATTATGTGGCTGGGAACCAATACCACTACGGGGGGAGTATATGATCTAAGCTGGCCAGATGTTATGGAGTATGTGTACCCAATGATGCTATGGCGGTATGCTTGATTCCATGTCATTAATTAAGGTCGGTACAACAAAACAAACGTAGTCACAATCGATTCCAAAGACTTACAGCGCCACTTATTTTGAGGATTTATCTACAGTTGCAAGTTTCACGATGGAGTATCTCAGAACTTCTAACGAAATTACTAAACCCAATCATTAAACAACTCCTCAATACGGCTAATCGAGAGAAATGGTGATGTCGACTGGTTTTTTCTAAAGCGGAAGCTAATACAACTTTGTAGCAAATTGTTGTTCGGCGTGATAGGTGTTTCTTGTAAACGCATTAAGCAATCATAATAAAAACCAGTAGCTTTATATGTTCGCAAAGCTGACATTTGAATGTCTCTGCAATACGAGAAGGAAGGAAAATATACGTGAAACCTTTTACTAATTCTCATTCTTTCTATTTTTCAGACACAGGCAAGATTTTGGTGTTACACTACTGTCAATCTGATAGCATACATTGCTCAGTTTTGGTTCTATTCAAACTACAACGGTGATTAATCACATGTACCAGCCACAAAGGAAACGTGTGGATGAAATAAAAGTTCATGTTTAGGAATGGTATTCCACATGCACCATTTTTCTAACTCGAGTCAGACATATAGAAAATTCGTTTTCCTTAAGAAAATATTGCCAAATGTCAGAGATAATTAGATAGAAGGGAAACTACCTGGTGTAAGTTCGTGCGAAAATTGGAATGTGGTTATTTAAGGCGAAAAATGAAATGCATGCTCCAAAGAGAGACATTTGTGAGAAAATCTCACTTTTCATTATGGCTCGCAAAAAGACTATGTATCGGTAACCTGTTGTTTGAATTCGACTCAAGTTTCCCCAAAAACCTTGCTTTCATTTTCTTAAGTCTGCCTACATTCCCATATCGTACACTTTTGTTGCTGGTGACGAAAACGCATATCTGTTTTAAACACCGCAATCATCTGATCAATTAGCCTAATCATTAAGTGTTTGCTAGCGACACATTGTACATGATGCAGTTAACGAGCAAACATTTCATTACTACACCGTTTCTTTTAACCATATCTCCAATTACTGACCGAATTATAGACAGCAACCCAGCTCAACATATTGGTGGTCAATATCCTTATACTGCTCTTCAATGATTTCTTTAGTTCATACAAATAAGGTGTTAATGTTGTTGTTATAAGTGCCATAACTGAGTCCTCAAAAGTTAAAGAACTACATGAAATTCATGAGTCATCTCATTTGTTGCCTACAACGTGCTATAAAATTTTAGATTTCCACGCGTAAACAGATTATATTACACTATTATAGATTGAATAGTTTGCAACAAGTCAGACTTAAGTGAACATCCGTCCAAGCGCATTTGCTTTGTTCTTCGTTCATTGTTTCTAAGAACGAAAAAACATGTGAAAAAAAATGTAAAAGTCTGGGGTAACGATTTTCCGAATTTACTACGTGAATATTTTTTCACCGAATGGGTTATCTGTGTAAAAAATACATCAACTATGTGCGGTGTTCCAGTCTTCTATGATTGGAAGCAGTGTATTGCAAGCGGAAAAATATCTGATGTGTCATGATCTTTCCAAGTTTTTAGTATTTTATACTAAAATTTAGGCCAGTAATAATTTACACATGTTATGATAAACTAACCAAGACAAATGATGTAACGTTTCCTCGAAGCTCGTAAACTAGCATGGTACGCTTTGTGGCCGTGTTTGTGAATAGAGGCTCAATGTTTAATTATTATTGGGCTATATTTTCATCAGATGTCACGATGGTACTATATTCTGTACGATTGTACCATAAGCTTGAGCAAAACCTTGTTGTTTTATAAAACTCTTATAACACGTAAGGATAGGGGTGTTCTCTGTCCAATAACAATACGCCACCTAGCATTTTCTAGCACTTTTCCTCTCATTTAGCGTTTCAGAACTGCATACAAGGGCATCATTATGACCAGAGATTTCACTTCAATCATCTAGAGTTATCTACATATGATTTATGTGAACACGTCAATGTGGTGAACCCCAACTTGAATGTTAGAGATCATAACGAAGCCCTGGTGATAATCATGCTCTTATGTGCAGCGTTCACTAACTAAAGGAGTAGAAGAATCTTAGATATCTCACATGTACTGACTATTAATAGACGGATACTACAAATTCACGGATACATATATTATTCACGACGCAAAAAAGACCATACGTGTTCTGTTCTTTTATCTGATGGTTATTTATCAAATTAACGCTAACTTATCTCTAAGTGTCACCAATCACCATCCAGAATCAATATCAGCCTACCATTCCGTAACGCAACAACTATCGACAAGTCTAAAAATGTACTGTGATAGAATATTTTCGTTATACGTAAAAAATACAAGCAACACTGATCTTACACATAGCAATGATAATTTTAAACGATGTGAATCACCATACTATATAGGTATGAAAATATCTGAGAACTATCCTAGCCTACACATTCAAAATTAACCCCAGCAGTGCAAATCTCAAATGCCCCCGTGAACCGAGATGACCAAGGTCGTTGGAGTAAATGCACGAGCGGATTTGAAAGTACATTGCGCTTTCTTGTATCACCGGGTCTGAACGTCACTTATAATGGTTTGTAGTTTATTTATGTGTATCTTGTGAATACATATATATTTTTGTTCCAAAATACAAAAATCTAACAGTACTTTGTTGTATTAGAGCACTGGAGTAAAATGCCACAGGTCATGCATCGAAGCATTTGAAGACTTGAAGCGTAATAAGAAGCATCGATACATCCTCTTCCATATTGAAGATGATAAAGAAATAAAAGTCCTGTGTCAAGCTGATAGAAGTAATCACCAATTAATTTCTTTACTGGTAGCGGAAACGTATCATAATTTTAAGGATAGTTTATTAAAAAAGATGGATGAAGGTGAAGGATGTTATGCAGTTTATGATTACGAAGCCGAAGGGAAACTACCTACTCTAATATTCGTCTCGTGGTACGTTTATTTGCACCATATGGTTTCATATGTTTAGGGTTCCGTCTACACTTGATGTTAAAAAGAGAATGATATATGCTGCTTCAAAAAGTGTATTGAAAGCGAGTTTGATTGGTATTAAACACGAAGTCGAGGCAAATGATGTGGACGAAATCGAGGAGGAAGAACTGCGCAAAAAAGCTTTATAACTGTTCATCTTAGTTGTATGTTTCGAAAATTCACATGGATTTTCTCATTTGCGGGTTAGTGCATTTTAAGAGACTTCTCACTCGTCAAACCTGTATTTTCATTTCTAAATCTGATGATAGTTTGTCATACACGTCAGTTTTTTAATCTTTTGGTCCAGTGTGCGCTTCTAATATATGTATACTCCAGAATTCAGCTCCATCGCCCTGTGCATTATAAATATTTATGCTTAGTTGATTGAACCTTATTTATTCTAATTCTTGCTCCTACCTGGTCTACAAAAGCCTTAATTGTTAAATTTCTAAAGACTTGGACTCCCAAAGTTTAATACCACCAAGTTACTATTAAAGCTGATACTTGTTTTTTACGCATGTCTAATGATTGTACCATTAATTTTTGGTAATAAAGTGATCTCCGTGTTCTGATTTACACTTTCCTATGGTATCTTTAGAGTAGAAAATACTCCTGGATGTGTTGATAAAGCTCTAATTTGCACCCTACAACTAATCAACCTCGTATTTTCTTACCTGTATAGTAATTTTGTAAAACTAATAGTTTTTGGTCAATGATTATCTGAATAAGATAGAAGTCCTCATTCATCTATAGTTTGGTTTTGCGGGGAACAGATCATATATTTTCATTTCTATTGATATTCTAGATTGTAAAGGTCTACATCAACCACATAATGATTTGACTAGTATTATGTGTCACTTTACTAAGAACTGATGACATAAGATACGAGACACAAGAAGCGTTTAGTTCACGTGCTGGCCCTGAAAATTTCAACAAATTGACTTACGTATTACTGGCATTATAAATTTTGAATGAGACTGGGTTTTACGTCTTGGGACTTTTGTTTTTATGAATACACGTTTTACATGGCAAAACCGTATATAATCAATGTTTGTCGAATTTTACTGGCCATAATTTGTTGTTGTGGTTCGTCAAACTTTCTAATTTTTCGTATGACCTTATTTAATGTACCGTGACATTTCTTTCAAAGCTAGCCCTATTTTAGCAATTATTACCTAAAATAATCGTTTGTCATTGGCTATCCGTCTTTTCTAATCTTCCTTGAGACCTCATGGAATTTTTGTATTTTCCGAGTTACCAATGTAACACGATTATTCTTCTGCAAAACTATCGAAAAAGGTAAAATTGTTTGGCAAGCGACAAGCTTAAGTCATTTGATTATAAATATATGATAGAAATCATACCTTAAGTACTCCATATATCTTTGTTTATTTTTTCATCCTGCAGTAATGGCGGATAGATGTTTGGTTGCATACATTATGACAGATCTCTGCATAAGAAATTAAGCCTGACTATCTTTGTGATATAAATACAAATTCTTTTCAAATCGTTTTCGTTTCTGGTTGTAATTAAGTTCTCTTACCTAGTTAATTTAAACAATTTTTTCTTACCGTTCTTATTTCGGGTGATGGTAAGAATATACTGACTTGTATCGTTAAAATGTAAGAGCTATATTAATCTGCTTTTCCTGTTATCCCCACCACTATTTAATCTGTTTTATTCTAATAACTACCATTAAAAAGTTCAGGCGTTTCAAATATGATTTCGTAAAGTTAGTGAAATTACCTGTTTTATTATAGAACTTTTTAATCACGATGATCAGTCAGTCAGTCAGCTGCAACGTAGGACCAGGCACGTATATGCATCGGTCCAAGTTGCCATACCGCATTAGCACAACAAGATGAACACCGGATTCATAGAAGTAGTCACATCAAAGGTAGTAGTATATAAAAGAAAGATTGTGTATAAGGATATAATACAGGAAGAAAGAATTAGTTCGTAGAAAGAAAGATTTGAAGTGATTTTAATCTCTTAGTTTAAGGGAAGACAGAGAGTGTATACACCGACGCCATTGTGATCGATTCTGAGCCATGTCACCAAGAGTCTCCAACCATTGGTTACGATAGTCACGCGGACCCCAACCAAGTAGTCTGCATCTGCCAACATGGAACAGACTAGAAGTTAGTGTCTTCAAGCACTGATGACACGTTTTGGTTTGGCCGCCCCTAACTTTCTTCTAATCATCCTCAACACCAGTGAGCATTGCGCGTCGTGGTAATCGGTGTTCAGGCATACGCAAGATGTGGCCCAACCATCTCAGTCGATGAAGGTTCATAACCTCATCAACTGATTTACCATCATTCCCTAATACCCTGCGTCTAACCTCATTATTACTTACCCGGTGATCCCAGCAGATACCAGCAATATTTCTAAGACATCTGTGGTCAAATACTTGTAGCTTACGAGTATCTTCAACTCTTGATGGCCATGTTTCGCAGCCGTATAGTAGAACGGAACGAACTGCCGTGCAGTATACTCGACCCTTAATTGATAGACGAATATCTCGCCTGCGCCATAGATGACGTAAGTTGGCAAAGGCCAAACGAGCTTTTCGAATCCTTGCTGAGATTTCGTCAGACACCAACCCATTAGGGCTGATCAGACTTCCAAGATAAGTGAAGTTGTCAACGCGTTCGACTACTTCACTCCCTATTCTTAGTTCAGGTGTTGACGCAGACCAGTTGTGAAGCAACAACTTGCATTTAGAGGGAGAGAAGCGCATCCCAGAAATTCTGGCATTGTTGCTCAGTGCTACCAAAAGACTCTGCATTTCATCAGCGTCTTCACCAAACAGGACTATGTCATCTGCGTATTCTAAGCCGATAAGTGGACCTCCTGGTAGGAGATTAATACCCGAGAATTCAGTCGATGAGAATGTTATTTGTATTAGAAGGTCTATGATGAAGTTAAACAAAAAACGAGAAAGTGGACAGCCTTGACGGACGCCACTTGAGGTTGCAAAAGCAGATGACAATTCGCCATAAGCTCTGACTCGACTAGTAGTGTTCGAGTGAAGAGCCTTCATAAGGTTTATGTACTTCTGAGGTACGCCTTTCAATGACAGACACTGCCACAGAACCTCTCGGTCAACAGAGTCCAATGCTGCTTTTAAATCAAGGAAGACCATTATTGTCGGACGCCGATAAGTATGCCTGTGTTCTAAAACCTGACGAATGGTGAATATGTGGTCGATGCAGCCACGATAAGGTCTGAAGCCAGCCTGATTTTCACGTGTTTGCAGCTCACGAGTCTTAGTTAGGCGTCCGAAAATTATCGAAGCTAGTATTTTAGATATTATATTAGTTAAACTAATCCCTCTGTGGTTGTCACAGGATGATTTTGACCCTTTCTTAAATATTGGGACGATAAGTAATTGTGACCAGTTAGATGGGATAACGTCTAACTCCCAGATTTTAGCTAGAATATTAGTCAACCTAATCGCTAAAACTGGACCACCATCCTTAAAGACCTCTGGGGCCAATCCATCTGGACCAGCTGCCCTTCCTCGTTTCAGATTAGCTATAGTCTTTTGAACTTCAGCTAGAGTTGGGGGCCGATTTCAATGTTCCATTCACACTGTCTGGGAATAGAGGATAGTTGTAGAGTAGCTGAAGGCCAACTGAATTGCTCCTTAAAATGTTCCGCCCATCGTTCTAAACGTCTGGACTGGGAGCAGATGAGAGTGTCGTCTTTTTCCGAAATAGTCTGACTTACACTTGATTTATTAATTTTAGTTTCTTTTATTAGTCTGTAGAGTTGTCTTGTGTTCCCTATAGCCGCCGCCTTTTCCATCTCTTTTGCTTTCGTTGCCCACCACTGCTCACGATCATTCCTTAGACTTTTGGTTAACCTAGATCTGATTTCTTTACGCTCTTCATCGTGTTCAGAACCTGATGGGATGAGTTTACGAGAATCTATCAGTGCAATAGACCTTGAAGAAATCCATTGGTTCTTTGTAACCCTGTGGTTTAAATCACTAGTAGATGTCACTGCTGTTTCCACAGCTGCTTGTATGTCTTTCCAATCAACATCGGGGTCAGCCTCGTTTTCAGAACTACCTAAGTGTGACCTCAGTTGTTCCCGGAACCTACTTTTGGTTTTCTCATTACTCAATTCGGTTCTAATGAGTCTTTTTTGTGTGGCTCTTTTGCGTCCAGTGAGGCGCAAGCAGATGCGTGCTCGTATTAGGGCATGGTCGGAGTCCAAGCAGGTACTCCAGAATGAGCGACAATCTTCTATTGACCCTCTCCAACGATGACTGATGGCAATATGGTCTATTTGAGTCCATCGTTGGTTTGGTGCAGGGGGTCGCCATGTTAGACGATGTCTCTCCTTATGCTTAAAATTTGTGTTTGCTAAAAATAAACGATTGTCTGAGCACAGTTGCAGCAGACGATCACCATTATCTGTTCTCTGTGCCGGAATACTAAAATACCCACCTGAATGTCTTTCTGTTTCGTTTAAGCTACCTACCTGGCATTAAAGTCACCTGCCACGAGTACTATGTCTGAACGTTTAGCTTTCTGGAGAAGTTCAGAGAGTTTTCTGTAAAATTCATCTTTCACTTCATCCGAACTGCAGTCAGTGGGAGCGTAGTCAGAAACGACGAAAAGGCAACGACGTGTGTCCCTATCCTTTCGAGTTCTTGCGGAGCCGTTTAGCTGAACTGCGCATAAACGACTATTAACGGGGATCCACTCTAATAGCGCTTGTTCCGCCCTCATGCTTAGTGCTATGCCTACACCTGCAAGTCCACGAGAACTAGTCATCGGGTCGCCAGATACACGGAGGGTGTATCTCGTCGGCACTCACTCAAGTATTGACTGAAACTTACGTATCATTGTATTGTTTACTAAGGGTTTTCATTGGTTCATATTCCAATTTTCTTCACAATCTTGAATGTGGTGAATTTATATTTACGCTTAAACTTAATTCACAATTAGTTTGAACTGCATTTCAGTGGAGTATTTTTAAACTTCGTTGTTGACTTATTTAAAAAAATGTGGTCTCACTAATCACTGAAACTATTAAGCAGCATTGTAAATATCTGCTTCCTAAAATTCGCCATCCTATACTTCAATAAACAAGCTGTGTAACGTATGAGTTTCGTTAAATTAACAATTTTTGATTGTTTTCGTAATCAAAGAAAGACCAAATCAAAGGTGTTTGTCTACTTGGGACCGAGAAGTAGACCAGTTATGTGGCGCTTTTAAAATTTGTTTTATTGTTTGCCAGCTAAACTCTTGGTGAGGATTTTATTTTGTAATGAAATGAGACAAATTTGACTGACATATTCCATTACAATGACACAACAGTAACCTGTTCACCTAAGTAATACTGTAAATTATTACTATTGCATACCACTAAAAAAACGAAAAAGAAGTAATCATTTTCGTTTCTGCCTTCAGGGTGCTTTTCACCTGATGTCACTATGCAAACATTATTTGAAAAAGCAGATGATTGTCCTGGGTAAATAATCTCAAATACGACTTTGTAATTATTTATTAATACATCTATATCTCTTCAGAAAGTGGAGATATTAAGTTTAC